CCCCCGGCGCTGGCCCCAGCCTCAGGCAGCGACGTGCCAGAGGGTGAAAGCAGGAGAGGGTTTCCTGCCTCTTTATGGGCAGTTTTGTGGTTTTATGGCCGCACAGTGCCAAGACCTGGGACGCTGGCTTGGAAGGGAAAAGCAAACAGCAGCTCTTTGGCACTGGGAGGAGGTGGGTGACATGTGGGCACAGCGACTGGGGGGTCTGATGTCGAGCCAAAACCCCCTGAAATCATCGTGCTTCTGCCAGTGGCCCGGCTCCCTGGAGCAGGGTGGCACCAGAGGGGTCACAAACCACAACTTCAGCCACATTCTGCTCCTGCAGCTGTCCGTGCTGATTCTGCAGGAGCTGGGGGGTCCCACAGGGGCCGGGGGTGTCACACCACCCACGGGGGCTTGCAAGCAGTGTGTGACCTGCACACACGGCCAGGGCCACCCCTGGCACCCCGCAGAGGGACATCCCCCAGAGGGCACGGTGGTGATCCCACAGGCTGTGCCAGAGCCAAGGAATCGGATCTCCCGAGCCGGGGAGGGGGCGGTGCCCAGACACGGCCAAGGTCAGCGGCGGGGCGGGGTCCAGCGCTCGGGGTCCCCTCCCCGCCGAGGTACCCACTCTCCCTGCCCAAAGCTGGCACCCAGAGCTGTCCCCCAAAGCCCCCGGGCTGGAAAACCTCCTTCTGGCACAGCAGCTTTCTGCAAATGTGCTCTCCTGAAAATCAAGAGCCTCCTAAAATCCAGAGGCTACTCGTGCTGGTCTGAGCTCCTGGCAGGGAGTTATGCCAAGGGATTTAAAAATCAGGCTCTGACACATGGGATTTAAAAAAAAAAAAAAAAAGTGATGTTTCTTTCCTTGTTTATCCTCTTTTTCCATGACGGCTGCAGGGGTTTTTGCTGGTTTTCCAGCAGCCCTGAGCCTGCCCTGCTGCCCAGCACTGCTCAACAGCTTCCGACCCCCCGACTCCCCCGAGGCCATCTCCTCCTCCCACCCCAACGCTGTCCCCACATCCCACCCCAGAGGGATGGGAGCGAGGAGGACAACGCTGGCATGCACGGGCGGCCCTTGGGGGGCTGCCAAGGAGGGAAAGCCTGACTGGGGGGGCTGCCAGCAGAGCCCCCTGGACTGCAGCCAGGTGGGATAGAGCCAGGGCTGGGAACACAGCGGTGACACAGGGGCACCTCCCTGCTCCTTCTGGGGGACCTGCTGCTTGTCCAGGGGTTCCCCCAAACGGCCCAACTCCAGGGCCAGCTGCAGGTGTGGGGGTGGGGGCAGCCCTGCCCCATGGTAGCACAGGGAGAGTCCTGCAAAGTGGGGGCACTGCTTGGGGTACCCTAGAGCACTGCTAGGGACACCTAGCACACAGCACTGAGTGCTCCTAGGAGGGATCCTCAAAGCCAGCCCAAAGGGTGTCCCCAGCTCAGGGGGGACATCACAGCGCTCCTGAGGGAGCCCCCAAAGCACGGAGAACAGCTGGGGACACCCACAGCTGTCCAGGGGGAAACCTCCTCTGGCAGGCACTGCTGGGGGGACACTCAAATCTGTGCTAGGGAGAACCTCCAGTGCAAGAGGAGCCCAAAGCCATCCTAGAGGGAACCCCAAAGCACAGGCACTGCTGGAGTGACACCCCAAAACCACCCTTGGGGGAACCCCCAATACAAGGGAATCCAAAAGCCACCCTGGAGAGAACCTCCAGAACACAGGCACTGCTGGGGGCACACCCCAAAGCCATCCTGGGGGGATGCCCCAATACAAGGGAACCCCAAAGCCACCCTGAAGAGAACCCCCAAAGCACAGACACTTCTGGGAGGACCCCACCCCAAGCCATTCCGGGTGAGCCCCCAAAGCAGTGGGGACACATCAAAGCCCCTCCGGGGGGTGTCCCCAAAGCACAGAGTCCATCCAGGGGGACACCCGGCAGCACTCGTGGGACAGCGCCCCCTCCCCAGGCCCCTCGCGGGGTCACTCACATGTCCTTGGCGGGCAGGTTCTTGCCCTCCACGATGCGGATGGAGAGCGCGCAGCGCCGGGCCATGGCGGGCGTCACGGAGCGCA